AGGCCCGGCCGAGGTCGGTCGCGCCGCCACGAGGGGGGGTACCCCCATCAGGGGGCTCGCATCCTGCCGCCAGCGTGAGCTCGGCGTCGTATTTGGGCAGCTCGCATTCTGCTGGGAGTGTGAGTTCGGTGTCGTGGGTTTGAGGTCGATGTTGCCACGGCGTCATGCGTTGAGGGTCAGGAAAGCGATCCGGATGAGCATCGGCGGAGACGGACACAGGTGTGGCTGTTCCGGGCGTACAGAGTACCCCTTTCGAGTGTATCAAGAATGAATGTAACAATGCGTCTCCTGGAAGCGTATCAGGTGCAGAGCGTGTACTTCGTACGAGTCCGTGATATTGGTTGCAAAGTTCTCCGCCTCGGTGTCTTCAACTGACAACCTCGGAGATGGTCACTTGGACCCCGAGGTTTGAACAGCGTGCGGAGCCCAACCCTGAATGAATCGTTGCTGGGTGTGATTACCCCTGGATCCCGTTGTCTTGGGTAAAATCCCAATGGCATGAGCTGCGCAGTTTGACGGGCAGCCCAGAAGACCCGACGGCGTGTCCGGTGGATTGACGAACCAGACACCTCCTGGGTAAGGTATTAGTAGCTCGGGGCACATGAACGCGGGATCTGCCCGAGCCAGCCCGCTTTGGTGTTTCCGGCCTCGTTTTGCCTGCCCTGATGGGTTAATAAACTCAGCCCGCGTGGGCACCGTGCGTTGGGCATGATTGGGCCGAGTTGAGGGGTCCCGTGGCAGACAAGGATGCTGCTGCAGTGCGAGGTGGCTGCTGCATCGATTTTTGGGAGGCGTTGCCTCGATTTTTGGGAGGCGTTGCCTCGGTTCGCGAGGAGGTCAGGCACTCACTCCTGAACAATAAATCTAATTTCAGCTGTGGGAGCTCGACTTCCATCTCCAGGCAGCAGCCTACAAGCTGTTTGGTGTTGCCAGATCTTGAAATACAGGGCATCGATGTCCCCCGATAACGATCTGCGGCGTTGACGACAACACCCCGCCACGGATCCACACAGCACGACTTGAAGGCGGGAACACGCCGCCGTCGTTTGTTCGTTTGTTGTTGGTGATAATTACGGCGTGCCTCGAGCGCATGGGAAAGCCAGGGGTATCGGTCAGCAAAGCGCGAGGCAGGTGGAAGAACCTGAACGCACCTGCAAAGCGAATCCCGTGGAATGCGCTGCAGTGGGTAGGGGAAGATGACCGAGCACGACTCAGGGACCAGGGTAACAAAAGTGGGGTCTCCTCCGCTGCAGGTCTGCGAGTGGATGTCGGATGGTTACAGTGGCTCGAGAGTGGGCCAGAAACACGCCAAGCACCAAGAAACTTGCCCTTCGCTCCGCAGTAGCGTGCCCTGCAAGCTGTGACTTCAAATGCTGAAAGCGCTAGGAAGCGGTGGTCCGTCATCACCTCGCCGAACACAATGAAGAACGCCTTCGGGGCATGCGAGGTACTCCTGGGTTACCTGACCATGGTGACCCACTAGCGCCCGGCCCAGTTGGATTCGGGCGATCGTGAGGCGCTGCTGAAAAAGTGAAACCCCGAGTGTCAAGTAGCTCCTTTGTCACTCGCTCCGTTTTTCCCTTCTTGCCTCATGCTTGCAGAGCTGCGCTAACCCTCCTTCCCCGGCTGGTTGCCGCCCGCCTCCTTCACTGTCCCGCTTCCGTTATTCCGCCTCTCTCCTTCTCCTCCTTCCTTCCACCTTGCAATTTTTCCGTTGAAACAGACGCAAACCATCTCCGTGGGTGTTGTTGTTGTTTGGCGAGGAAGTCGGAAGTTCGGTCGCTGTGGTTGTCGGTCAGTATCATTACGTGTGGGAAGGTTTTTTGGGGATCCTGTGCTGCTGGGGTTTTTCATTCCCTTCTTTTTAACGAAGGTCAGTCCGATTCACCATGACGCAACTCCGGCCACTGCACGACCGCCAGGAAGCGCCCGTCCACTCCCTCTTTGAGCCACGTTTGCATGCGCGCATATCGACACCTTGATGGCACCACGGTCCGCCATTCGTCCAGGAACCTCGACGGCCAGTCGTGGTGGGTGGCCGAAGGGAAACGGGAGCTGCCGGCCTGGATGCGCGCATTACTGGCCCGTGGTTTCTTATCGCCAACCGGTCCGGCGCATGAGAGCCTCGCCCTGCTGCCGCTTCTCCGCCGCGGCGGTTCGTGGTTGACGACGTGCGCTGAGCCGCGCGGTTTACCCCGACGTCATCCACGGGCCCAACATGCCGGGATCTTGGGTCGCACAAACGTCCCGACCCTGCGGAACCCGATCTCGCCTGCCGATGTGGCCCGATGAGAGGCCGGCTCGGATGAAGGCCCGACCTGGATCACCAAAACACACCACGCGATTCTCAACCCGTTGATCATCAAGGACCCTTGTCGCCTGCAAACGTGTCATCAAAGATGGGAGGGAATGGGATGAAGCGCCGTTACATGCTAACGCGCCTGCAGACTACCATCCAAAATGTCGTCGGTCTCTCGTCGGGCGTGCTACAAGTGCGGCGAGCTCGGCCACCATGCCGAGGCTTGCGCGTCTCCCCACAGGCTCTGCTACAACTGTACGACCCTTCCTTGACCGATGCCTCGATCGGCCACTGACACTGGAGACCAGGCAAGCAGCCAAACCACGAGTCGAACGAGTGCCCCATGCCCCGCACCACTAAGGCGAAGCAGTGCTACCACTGCCAGGGTCTGGGCCACGTCCAGGCCGAGTGCCCGACGCTCCGCCTGACCGGCGCCGGTGCTGGCAACCGGTGCTACAACTGCGATTCGATCGGCCACTTGGCGGTACGTCCCCCTCGGCTTCCTCCTTGCGAGAGTCATGTTTCAAAAAACCAAGCTAACTCGGATCCCGCAGCGCAACTGCCCCAACCCTCCGGTTCCCGGGCTCGGCAGAGGAGGCCCTGTCCCTCGCGGTGGTTTCATGCCCGCGCGCGGAGGATTTGTCGGCGGTCCCCGTCCGGCCACCTGCTACAAGTGCGGCGGCCCGAACCACTTTGCGCGCGACTGCCAGGCGCAGGCCATGAAGTGCTACGCCTGCGGCAAGCTAGGACATATCTCTCGGGATTGCACGGCTCCCAACGGCGGGCCCCTCAACACGGCCGGCAAGACGTGCTACCAGTGCGGCGAGGCTGGCCATATATCGAGGGACTGCAACAAGAAGGGCGGCGTCAACGGCGAGCTGCAGCCCGACGTCGATATGAGCGGCGGCCAGCCGATTCCGGCGCCGGCTGTGGCCCCCATCGCTCCGATTGCCTAGGCGGATTTGGTTGGTGCTACTACACATACGGGGCGTGGCTAGTCATGTTCGGGGTCGGTTTCTTCGGCAAATGCATGGCTTTCTTCGTCCATATCTTCATATCCTTGATCTTCTCCCGGCTCTGGACAAAGCGGTCAAGATACAGTACACGACACGACGACATCGGGGGTTCCCACGGCGTTCTCGGTTCTGGCTCGCATCACGATTGGGCTCACGATATATTGGTCATTTGTGCATAGAGCTACAGAAAAGCAATGAGTGATCTAGCTGGCTGTTCAAGCTGCGGCCGGCTCTTTGTCCTCTAAAAGTCATGACCTGTTCCGGTAGTGTCAAACAAACTTCCGTTGTCAGCCTCAAATGGTTTCATACCTCAACGACTGTCTTCCCTCCCTTGTAGTCCTTGCCCTCGTCCTTGTCCGTCTTGTCGTCACGGTATCCTCTGTCGTAGGGGTTGTCAGGGCTGGTCTCCTTCTATTGTCCTGAACGGCTTGCTGCGCGATGAGGCTTACAAGCCGTCCAACTTCGTATATAGGCACCATAGGTACCGCGTCATGCCCGCGTCGGGTACACTCTCAAGCCCTTTCAAAGGCAGCGTCACATCAGCAAAAACTGCTTGCGCCAGTGAGACTTACGGACAAGCTTCAGTTACTTACTGTTGAGTACCACAATCAGAAAACTAAGTTGGGATCTGTCAAGGTAAATTCCACCACCTTTTTATGTAGACCTCGCAGACGAGGAAGAAAACTACCTTGCCCGTACAGCCGGAAATCGGCTAGGCTTAACTTGCCGTTGTTACTAGTGGCTGGGAATGCAGGAAAGGAGTTACCCAAGCTTCTCAAGGATGTATTACGGCCTGGTTTAGGCCATATGCTTAGGTACATAAGTTGCGTAATCTTGGCGAGACCTAGAGCCCTCTGCTTCCGAGGGCGGGTTGAAGAAGGGGGATTGCCACTAGAGGACCAGTCACTGGCTCACTGCTCACCTGCTGGGAGGATTCAACCGTGCCTCTTATGCCCTCCCTCTTCTTGGCAGAGCTCATCTTGAGAGAGTGGTGCGACGAGAAACTGGCCCTTAACTACTACAGCGACTGCACATCCGACTTCCTCATGCCCTAGAGCAGAGACTGCTGAGGGGGACGTCGTCGAGACTCGAGAAAATCGAAGGCCGGGAGCAATCTAAATTTCCCACTCCATCATCAAGCACACCAAGACTGACGATCCGCCTTGACTTTCATTGCCAAACAGACCGCGACGGCACCAAACGCAACACCAGCCGCCGATCTTCGTCGCTGCGTACTCAACTCTTAGTAGGGAGTGGGACCTATTTGACACCTGATGCCAAACTTCCCAAAACGGCTGCCAAGGCGCCGTCCTATTTGTCTGTTCGTCTTGCGTTCCGGGCGAGTTGAGGGGGATGGATGCTGTCTCCTACTTATCGGACGCGGATGCCCGAAGAGTCCATTGTCATATCACAACATACGGAGGGAAATAGCCCAAAGTAGTCCGTGGCCATGGCGTCTCAAGAATACTACCCTGAGATGCGGAACTCCCGTTGTCTGCACAGTCGGCTCCGACACTGAGCAAGCCCGAAAACGATTGCAGCACTTGACGGCCGCGACGTCTTCTGGAGCGCCGTGACCAAAAAGTCACTGTCTGCCCCCTAGTTAATTAACAACGCTCGTAAGTGTTCGTATGTGTGTGTGTGTGTGTGTGGTAGCAGGAAAAAGAGAAAGATGAACAGTGAACTGCCTCGACACGGGATTGAACCGTGGACCTTCGCATTTGATCAGTTCCCGTATCGTACGAGTGCGACGCTCTACCACTGAGCTATCGAGGCGCGTGCCATAAGCGGCTTCAAAACTAAATATACAAAGTACTATTAGGAGCCGCGTCTGCCGGTTGTACTCCGACCATGGGCCAATCGCAGAAGAAGCAGTGATCTGTCCGCCATTCGGCCTGACCCATATTCTGTACTCGACAGAGGAATGGAGCCTGCGGGCAGTGTGCAAGTTATATTTTATTCCGGAGCTTGCAATGCGACTTGCTAAACGAGAAGGTATTGCAACCTGTAAGTCAAGACCCTATCTAACGCCCCCCTCTAGTTTATATGCAGCTACATGTAACGGGCTTGGCCCGTGAAGGCCTCGACAAACTCTCGGCCAAGACTTTGAGAGGCAAGGCTCGAGATTCGGTGGACTTCCATCTTGTTCGACGCCGGCGCACAAGCCAAGGACGTCGAGGTATAAAATCTCGAGTGTCTTGTATGATCTTTGTCACGGCACGGCATTGGCACCTGCGGGCAAGAACGACCGCGTAGGTGTTGCAGTGGTGCGGCAGGACAGCTTCATAGTGCAGCCAGTGGTTCGATCTGTCGGATTGAATCATTTGTACCCTTTTTCTGGGAACATGGCTCAGTGGTATGGCTGCACGCTGAGTGCCGTGACAATCTTTCACTCCTTTTCTCCTTCTTCTCTCTCCATTCGGGACAAAATCGTAGAGTCGTCATCAGCTAGTTGCAATACACTACCTGAGACCGTTACACGAGGTACAGTGCGATATTGTTTTTCAATTCTCCCTACTATAGAAGCTGAAATATGGATATCCGTGGTTTGTATACATATAGCCCTAAGGGTTATCTATGCAGGGGACCGTTAGACCGGGGGGCCGTTAAACCGGGCCTTGACTTATAATACTCTCAATAACCCCTTTGGACTCTCACTCTTGGTCCTCTTTCACCTTCATCTTTCCCTACCTGATTTGTTTCCTCTTTCTTCCAGGCTAATCTTGGTTGTCCTTACACAGTTGTACCTTCAGTTCCCCACTCCTATTCTCATGGTCTTATGCTCATCGACTCCTTTTCCTACTTGGTTGTGTTGTTGTCCTTGTCGGTTGGTAACCGTTTCCTCAGCAGCCTGCTTCAGCACCACGTAGTCAGCCTTGACCTCAACAAGTTGGAACGTCGAGACTACAATCTTGTTTCAAGGGATGATTTGATCGTTAACAGGGAGGGGCTGTCCCCATCTCGAGCTAGGACTTCTGCATGAGTGCGGTTCTAGGGATCAACGCGGTTACATTCAGTGTAAGAAGCGCGCTACTGATATCTTCCGTCTTCCATTGTGCTTCTCCTAATCGCTACTCTGGTGTTCAGGGTTCATTTCATTTTATAACTTGCATGTGCTACGCCAGTAAACACTCCGGACCTTGATTGCATCCTGGAACCGCACTCAGCCCTTCATCAGGGCAAAGCCGCAACCCGCGGAGGCCAAGCTCGTGTCCACGGCTGGGAGCCGGCCCGCCGCAGTAATATGTATGGCACATCGGATGCAGGTCCCCGCGTGACAACGGCTGAGCAGTCCGGAAGGGCCAAAATTCAGTTGTGTGTTCTGGTCGCATCCGTCCCGGGAGTTTGCTGATCATAAATCGCCTCACCAAGCAACATGACGAGGGTCAAGGGCCGTGTCACGGTCGATCCCCATGGTATCCCTGGCCATCCACGGGACCCAATTGCAACCCATTCTTAAACTCGGACAGACCCCTCATCATGTCCGACCTCACATCTTGTCGTTGGAGACCACGATCCCGCTCGACAAGATGAGACCTTCCCAGATACAGATCCTCCTGGCAGGCCTCCTGCTCAACATCGTCGCATCTCAAGCAGGCCCCAGCTGCCCCGACTACTCGGTCTACTCCAAGTCCCGCCACGAGCCCTTCTCCTCCGGCAAGCATGCCCTCTCGTCCGCCCGTCCCGCCCCCTCCTGCCGGACCTTCAACTCCACCGCAGTCGAGACCCTCCTGAGCAACATGATCCCGGCCATCGCCGACCCGGACCTGTACCGCCTCTTCCAAAACACGTACCCCAACACGCTCGACACGGCCGTCCGCTGGCGCGGGCACGCCTCCGACAACCCGGCCGAGGAGCTGGCCTTTGTCATCACGGGCGACATCGACGCCATGTGGCTGCGCGACAGCGCCAACCAGCTGCAGTCGTACCAGGCGGCGCTCGAGCCGGACCCGGCCGAGGCGAGCCGGGCCGACTCCGTGGCCAGCCTCTACCGCGGCGTCATCAACCTGCAGGCGCGCTACCTGCTGACAGCGCCCTTCTGCAACTCGTTCCAGCCGCCGGCCGAGAGCGGCCTGGCGCCCGCGGGCAACCCGGCCGCGGCGTCCGACGTCGTCTTCCCGCCTTACGACAAGTCGGCCGTGTTCGAGTGCAAGTGGGAGCTCGACAGCCTGGCGGCCTTCTTGCAGCTCAGCGCGACCTACTACGAGTCGACGCACGACGCGGCCTTCTTCGGCCGGTTCCTGTGGCTCGAGGCCGTGCAGGCCGTGCTGGAGACGGCGCGGTCCATGATGGCGCCCACCTACGACCCGGACGGCACGGGCGCCGTGCTGCCAGCTGCCTACACCTTCACGCGGCAGACGACACGCTCGACCGAGACGCTGGCCAACGACGGGCTGGGCAGCCCCGTGCGGGCGACGGGCATGGTGCGGAGCGCCTTCCGGCCCAGCGACGACGCCACCATGCTGCAGTTCCTCGTGCCCGCCAACATGATGTTTGCGCGGTTCCTCGGGAGCGCCAGGCTAATTGTCGACGCGCTGGGCGAGAGGGCGCCGGCCGGGCTGGTGGACGAGATGGCGGCTCTCTCGGCGAGTATCAGGGAGGCGGTGACCAGGCACGGCATCGTGCCCGTTGTGAGCGCCAACGGGAGCAGCGTCGAGACGGTGTATGCGTACGAGGTGGACGGGTACGGCGGGGCGGTGGTCATGGACGACGCGAACCTGCCGTCGCTGCTGGCGGCGCCCGTGTTTGGGTACCTGGCGAATATCGACCCGGTGTACGCGCGGACGAGGGCGAGGCTGCTGAGTGCCGAGGGGAATCCGTACTTTATGAAGGGGTCGGTACTCAACGCCATCGGCGGGCCGCATGCGGGTCCGGGCATGGCGTGGCCCATGGCGAGCATTGTGCGGATACTGACGTCTAGCGACGACGACGAGATTGTGAGGGTGCTGCGGGAGCTGGTGAATAGCACCGACGGACTAGGGCTGATGCACGAGAGCGTCAACTCGAACAATGCGAGCCAGTGGACGCGGCAGTGGTAAGTCTTGGTGTCTCTGGGATGTAGGGCCCAGACTCGGAGAAGATGCTGACGGATCTGGCAGGTTCTCGTGGGCCAACGGGCTGTTTGGCCAGATGATTCTCGACCTGCACACTCGAAAGCCGCACATCCTGCAGCAGAGCTTCCAATGACTGTAGTGCGAGCAGTGAATAATGAACCACAAGAGAATGTTTCGGCTCAGAGATCGACGTCTCGATTCCCATGTTCGAGGTATCCTCTGTCGTGTCTGCGGTATGCAGCCCGTGACACAACTTCGCTCGAAGCCGTCAAGGTCGACGTCATACAACAGCGCCAGCGCTCAGTATTGAACCCCTTTGTCCATCCAACGTACCGCGTAGACATCATCTCCCTCCTTCCCTCCTGCAGATCGTAAAACTTCCCCACGGGGAACTTCCGACCCACCCAGCATCCTCGACCGCAGCCTGCCGCCCCTCCCGGTCCGCCAGCGCCTCCTCGGCGCTCATATCCCAGAATGTCGGCACCTCTGCCCGGTCGACACGTAGCCAGCCCTTCCAGTCGGCCGTGACGGCGACCTGGGCGGACGCAGCAGCCGAAGCGCTCCCCGCCGGGTTGAGACCCCCTCCGATGACCACGGTGCCCCACCATTCCCGACCGCGGCTTCGGTGCGACCCGTAGAGCATGTATTCCTCGATGGACGCGACGCAGTCGGCGACGTGTGCGACGCTGCCGCGAGCGGGGCGGAGGATGTGGACGTGGTCCAGGTCGGCGCGCTGGACGGGATTTGTCAAGGCTGCAGGTGCGCCTTCTTCGGCCGGGCGCGCCGCCAAAAGCCGCACGGGATCGAAGCGGCCTTCGAAGTCGACGATGGCTACGGCCTTGTCGTGCGGCGGGCTGATCAGGGTCGCGACCAAGACGCAGAGCAGCTCGCGATGGCGCCCGGTGAGAGCCAGCGGGGCTGACTGTGTCGCGCGAAAATGGCGGCCGACGAGGTCATTGAGGGGACTAATGGGAAAGGTTGGTATTCGAGCATGGCCGGTGTTGCTGTCGTTTGCATCGCTAGTGGTCGTTGCGAAGCTTGTGCGGAGGGAAGCGAGGACCTGGAGGAGAAGCCTTTCAGTATTTTCCTTCGCTTTGCCTCCAACTTCAACCCTCCAATCTCCAGCCGAACCTGCGAAATTGCCGAATTTCGTCACTGTCCGCCACGTACCTCGTCCAAAGTTGTTTCCTCTATCTCATTGAGAAGTCGAGAGCCGACTGTCGCGGCCGCTGCGCTCCGCATCATCTGCGTCCTGTTGACGGGTGGCGACCCGCTGGCTGCTGCGATGGCGCCGCCTTGCCCAACCTTCCCTGCCAGCCAACTTTCGAGCGCGGTACAGATTGGTGCGGATGCAAAGGTGCGAAAGACGGAAAATGGGCGTCGGATTGATCTGGCCAGGGATTGCGAGCTATTCGGGCTCGTGCAGTACGAATGTGTGGTCCGGCATCCCGAGTTGGCCGACAGCCCCGTGCAGTGCTGGCCGATCCAGAGGTGGTTGCGCAGGTGAGTTATCAATCATGAGTGACGAGAAATCGACATCCCGGCGCAAACCATAAGCCCATAGGTGGTTGGTGGAATCAACTTGCTGATGCAGAGTTCGATTCTAGATGTCAGAACAAAAAGGGCAGCTTTATGGCAGAAACGACCGCTTGGGAAGGAACCGGAGCAGCTCGGCCTCGCACCCCAACAACGGACATGAGCCGACCAAAGGGGCATGGCGCA